GCCTGGCCAGAAAGTCTCCCTGCTGCTGCGTGCAGAGAGCCAGCAAGGCAGGTTAGCGCCGTGGCAGGTCTGCGTTTGTGTGTTCGGTTTGCATCACCCTGCTCCCTCGGGTTTCACAGATTACAGTCCTGCCAGAAGGCTTACACCTAACGATATTGGCCCTTAAACAGCACCTTTCACGCGATGATTTCCAAGTGCTTTATTAGTGTAAAAGAACTTGGCCTCATCATACCCCACTGCTGTGGGGCCGAGCTGTAACTAACCCGGACCTCAGGGTATCATTTTATTCCCTCAGTAACATTTCCAATTTATAGGCACACTTAGGACTTAAGTTAACCCAATCATTAACACTTTGTTAACGAGTCACCGTGCTTTAAGATCTATGGAGAAAGGGCATTATAAAAATACACAGCATAAATATTATAAAACCAAACAATATCTGACTGTACCTGTACCCAGTCTGCAGCAACTCTTGCGTGCAGCAATCGTATTTACCCTGTTTGGTCACTGTTTGATCAGTCACTTCCGTCAGCTGCAGCAGTCGTGCTTTCGCCTGGGACCACATCCAGCATCACCACACACCCCCTCGACTCCAAGATGCCCAGGATCAGCCCTGGTCGCTCCAGAAAGCAGCATCAGGCTGAAGATTTAACACAAAAGCTGACATGAAATACACTCATTTTGACAATAGCTGAATCAAGAGCTGCAGCGCTGGACAAACAGGGCCAGAGCACAGCATGCATAGCCTGGCCTGGGGGCAGAGCCCATCTTTGGATGTAGGATCTGGCAAGCTGATAACGTTCCTGCCCACAGCCTGGGTCTTGCCTGCCCAGGGTTGTGCATCTATTCAGATATTTTATCAGCTCTCAGTAAGGTTGTTAAGCATCCCTGAGAAGCTGCTCCTACCCTGGAGCCACATCCCAGCCAGAAGCAACAGCTCCCTCTCCCTGGGTGAGGGATATTTGACCTCCTCCAGGACCTCAGCAGTCAGGCTGGCTCTGCTGCTCCTCACCCCCAAAGAGCACCAGCAAGCGCAGAAGGAGCAAAGCCACCACCAGTCTCACCTTCTGGCGTGGACCCTACAGCATAGAGGATAACAGCCAGGTTCACACCCCCATGATGGCAACTTAACGCACTAACTCCCATCCCCAGCACTAACAAGAACCTCATACGCTTTCCCCAGACGTTATGACCTGGCTTTTCTATTTTTGGCTATCTCTTTAGTATCATGTTCTTGAGCTATTCTCACTTTTTTGTAGCCTGGTTGCTTTTGCCTGGATCACAGATAAAATAAGGCAGACAGCTGCTCACACTCAACTGCCAATGCTGATGGAAAGAAGACGCAGGGCAGTAAGTAGCAGCAACTTAATTGCAATCAAGGCCTGTCAGCCTTGTCAACATGCCCGATCAGCTGCAACTGATGGGCCAGTGCTTGGATGTGGTGCATGTGCAGCAGGGGAGCTGAAGCTGTGTTTGAGAAGGCTGCACAGAGGTGGGGATTGCCAGTGCTGCCAAAGCACACAGACCACCCGTAAGTGGTGCCTGCAGCTGGGCGCTACAGAGGATGGCTCAGGAAATTTCCTAATCCCTAGTAATTAGAGGCTGGCTTAAACCTCAGGTATAAGACTTAATGTCTCTTCCCAAATTTTATATATTAATTGGCCCAGTTCTGTACGCTCTTGGGCACCAAAAAGTAGATCTCACTCCTTTTTGGAGCGCTGCACGATTTTGGGGCTGAGTGACACCCTGCACAGGGCAGCCCACAGTTTAGCTGCTCTCTATGGCCGGTGCTGGTATGTGTAGATAATGCTCCTAAAATCTGAGACTGACGGTGCTCTCGTGTCTTGCCCTGGCAGTGAAATAACCTGTAAATGAGGCAGGAGCTCATTAGAAGAGCAATCTCTCTCCCTGTTGTGCTCATGGTGGAGGTAGTAGATGCCTTGTATGCTCTGTCACTGAAACACGTCCCCCTTCTTCCAAGGTTCAAAAAGGTTCCCCTGATCAAGGAGGAAGCTGAGCTGGGGAACTGAGAAACCCCCGAGCTCAGGAGGAAGGGGAAAGGATGGAAAATCCACATCAGTGTTGCTGCCGTCCAGGGAAATTGGAAACTGTGCTCGCTCTAAGTGTGTGTGTGTGTGTATGTGTGTTTGTGGGTTGTTTCCCTGCAGACTCGCTTTTCTTCACAGAGCTGTGGCAGAGAGAAATGTGCATCTGCATACCCAATACACCCTCTCCTCCTTCCTTCAGGTAGCATATCGTTGTGACTTTTGGTCCGTACTACAGAAACCAAGTCTGCCATCAGACTCTGTGGAGTAATCTAGGCCGTAGCGGGCAGCAGCCTGGGCAGCAGATATTTTGGGGGTCTTTTGAGCTTCATCTAGTTGGTGGCCGGGAGCAGTCTCAGGAGAGGCTCAGGTGGTCCTTTCCCATCCCACGTTTCTGCATCTGCAAGGTCACATCTGCTCCTGCACTCCGCAGCCCCCCAGGGAATTTCCTCCCCTTTTCCCAGGCCACGAGCCGGGGAGCAGCCGCAGCAGCTGGAGCGCCGTGGCATCGAGCAGCATCACTGTAACCCTTCCTCAGACACGCTCCTCCGTGCACGGCCCCACACCGGCACTCTCCCTTCCCCTTCGGCTGTGGAAGGATGGCAAACGCGTGCCCTTTCTCCACCTTGGCACGCATTAACCCCCTCCACGCGCACAGACCACCAGCGCGCCAGACAAAAGGGGCCGCCTGGCTCCGGGTGCTTCCTGCAGCCCATCTGACTGCTGCAGATGTTGACATCTGCTGCAAAAGTCTTAGCTGGCATAAAGCAGCCAGAGATTTTTGGCTCACGACATGCAGAGCGGCAGCAGCACCCGTAGCAACCGCAGTAGGATTTGGCTCACCCTTGCTGTCTTGAAGCTGGATGTCTAGCCTGAGCTAATTATCTAGTCTCCCTCTGTAGCTAAAGGAGGGAGTGCCATCTCCAGAGGGTGAACCAGCTCTCAGAGGAGATGAACAGTCCTCTGGAGGGGCCCAATCTTTTTCTCTTGACCACGGACTGAGGTTACGCATTGAGCTCAAATTAGATCTCTTTGCAGAGGGCTGAAACAACAAGGCACATCCCAGCTCCACCTTGCAACAGTCCTGCATGAAACTGGGGAGCCAACTCCTAATGTTTTCTGTTTTCCCTCGTTTGTTTGACCAAAGTGATTTGTCAAATGCGAATCTAATCATGAATAGTTTAGTTCCCTGGGATATGTCTTATTTCATGGTGAATTTATTATTCACTGAAAAGATTGCTCTGCTTTAATGCAGGCAGAGAGGAAAAGTTATCCCTTGTGCTGCTTCTCCAGTGGTTTCACTGGGTTCAAAGCTTTTAGCAGATAAAACCACTGGGTACAAATTCTCTTGGCATATGCTGAGGACATCGCTGAGAGAGAAAGTTAGCTGATACTGATTTCAATGAAAGTTTCCCAGTGTAAAGACAGTGGGATCAGGCCCTCTTCGAGGAATTTAGTCACTTATTTACATTAATTATACTTTACGTCACAAGCAATACAGTCCTGATCTTAGGCTTGTGTTAGACTGGATCAGTTTTAGTGACAGTGCTAGAGCTCTCAGATTGACACCAGTATAACTTAGTTATATAATACATCAAAGATAAAAATACATCAGGCATAAAATATCAACTGTTAGAGGAAATAACCAGAGCGCCCACACATTTAATGCCTTCCAAAGAACTGGGGAGAGAAATCACATTACTGTAATGCACAGAGTTCTGGGACATCTTTTATCAGAGGCTATCAAAGCACTTCACAAATCATTACTTATTTAAACCCTGTCACATGCTGGTCACAAAAGAGGACAATGCTGGAAGCAGGGCATGAACTCAGGAGGCATCACCAGAGACAAGGAAATATTTAAACCAAAGCGTTTTCTAGTAGGAAATGCTCTTTCACAAAAATTGAAATATTTTGCAGCATCATGTTGATTTCAATAAAGTTTCTGACAGAACAGTTTCAAACCAGTTCCACATCAAAATGGGATCCTGTGCAGGGACTATGTGGGAGAGGGGCTGGAGTTTTTATTCCAGTACTGTGTCATGTGCATATTCCATTTAATAGTTGTGGCTGACCTTAGCTAAATGTTTCTTTTCAGTCTGCATGTTTCTGAAACTAATCATTCAGAGTATTTAATTCTGTAATTGGGGAGAGGGTGCTGTGATTTTTCAACCTCATGTGAGAAATAGATGTATTTTGCAATATCAGAATGCACGGTCTGTTTGAGTAGATGCTCTTTCCTAAAACCTCCTCAAAGACGCCTGCTTAACTCTCTGTGATTCTCCATATCCTGATGCGAAAGGTTAGTTGCTCAAATGGAGACTCCAGAGTCTAATTCAGATAGTAAAAACTGAGATTCTCTTTCCAGTATCTAGCATCCACGTGTGGATGCAAAACTGCTGTTTTTGAGGGCCTGATCCAATACTCAGATTTGTTCAAAGAGAAGTGGATTGGGTGCTTTGCAGAGGAAGAAGGGAGAAGGGATGGTATACAAAACGCAGTGGGGTTTTCCCAGAAATCAGGCTTGATCCATCAAGATTGGTTTGTGCCACCTGCCAAATGTAAACCATGCCGCATCTTTCTCACTCTGTGAATGCTTTGACTTCTCCTTCCCTGATGTATTTGTGGCTTCTATTTGCAGGGAATATGGTTTGATTCTGTCTCTTCCTCTGCCAAAGAAAAAGCACAGTGCTTCCATCGGCCCTGCCCGAGCCGAGGACAGGGCTGAGGAAGGGGGTCTCTAAGCATCGGGTGATTTGTATTCAGTCGATGAGAGTTTTGCTGGATTAAAGACAGCAGAACGTGACTCAGGCTCTGACAGGCATGTGGCAGCAGATTAAAATTGGGCAGTCAGAGCTGCCACCACACTGAGCCATCTGCCCGGCCCCTCTGACGGGGACTGCTGCCGCCACAGACACTGTCTCACCCCCTCGTGCAAAAGCTCCTGAACTGCCATAGAGGAGATGCCCCTGCCTCTGGGTGGCAATGCCTGTTTGCAGGATGGGGTGGCAGGCCAGTGGCACCTCATAGCCCTTCATTTGTCTGATTTTAATCCACCACTGCACATCTGTCAGGGACCTCAGGGAGGCCAACATAAATCAGTAGTGTAAATCAGCGCGGCTCGCTGGAAGGGAAAGCAAAGCTGTGCTGATTTACAGCAGCTGAAAGTGTCTCTGTTCTGCAAGCCTTGGTCCTATCAGGTGATGAAAACTCACTGCAATCAGCAGTGAAGCTGATTATCACCTTGCCAGGGAAACAGCCTTTGTAATTGCTTAATTAGAGTCAAAAATGGTCAGGTGGAGACACGGGACAGGAGACACAGGATCTATTTCAGTCTCTGTCCCTTACCTACAAGGTGATCTTGCTCAAGTCACTTGAACTGTTTGTTTTACTGCTGCTTGTTGAGCCTGCAAATATGAACATGCTGATAACAGCTCGGACTGAGCTGAAACATCAATCCTTTTCTCGAACTCAGTTCAGGTTCACACAGGTTTTCAGTAACTTTTGAGAGGAGAGAAAAAAAAAAGATAACAGTCATTTAAGAATGTTTTTTCTCAAGGCTATTTAAGCTTTTTAACTCTTTAAAATTATTCACTGATATCAAAGCAAAACACTTTTTGAGACAACTCTTTGAACTGCCCCGCTTAAATAAAACATCAAAATGAACCATCCTAGCATTAAAATCCCCCCACCTTTTCCCGCTGAAACTTCCCCCCTCAGTTCGACCCGAGTGCTGAAATATGGTGACAGGTACATTGTGGACTGCAGAGATTTCAGGCTGCCCCTGCTCTACCCCCTCCAAAGGCTGCGTGATGCTGTTTGTGTCATGCACAAACATGGGACTAATCATAAGGGCTTGGCACCCTGATAATGTGGCCACGTACCTTGGGGTGGTGAAAACACCCTGCAGTGCACTGTGTTGATACAGCATTCGAAACCCGGGGCAGGACGCAGGGTTCAAAGCACGCACCGTGCCCGGCAGAGTGGAGTTGCAGGCTTGGCAAGTACAAGGGATGTCACAACGTTACTAGTCATTTCTTCCTGTGTTTAGGAAGAGTTGACTATAATGAGCTAAAAGGTAGTGACGAATTCGTGTCTCAGTAATGGTTTATATACGTGCCCACACACACACGTACCCACCCATATACACAACCCGCCAAGATTGCACTGTGCTCAGTGCCCCTCCCTTTCAGAGGAGAATCTTCCTCTAGAAAATAGCCCCATTGCTCAGGAGAGGATTTCTTAGGAAAGAGCTGGTGAAATATATCCCCTTGATTTTTACATGTTTACTTTTAAAAAGGTTTCATCTTCCTCCTACCTCCGAGAGCACGTTCCTGGAAGAGTCTCCATCCCCTTCATCTCACATCCCTTGCTGGAGTGGCAGCCCCGAGCAATGTTTCACTGCCAGATTATAGCCAACCTGGATAAGGGATATATAATGCAAATGCCAAAGGAGTTAACTGGAACTGTGTAAAAAGCCATGACTGCCTCATGCAATATTAGCACCCAGCTCAACCCAATGTGTTCTCAGTTATAACCACTTTTCAGTTTAAGAAAAGTCTGCACTGCCTTTTGTTTCTGCCCAGCAACACTGTCTCTGTCCTCTTGCTGGTTACATTACTGCATTTAAGATGCTGTTTCCCTCTCTCTAAGGTTTTTGCAGGGCCTTTCTCCCCCAGCTGCTTCCCTCGATAGCCAGCTTCAATATCTTCAGCGCTCCACTGTCAGAGTGTCGGACTTTGCTATTGCTGGTGTTGCTTTAAGTTCAGGTTGTACCAGAACATCAAATTTAATGTGCAGTGAGGAACAAAATCATCGAGGCTGTGTGGACGTAAAACAACAGATGGGCAGTGCCTTGCTGCTCTGGCTGTGAAGATTTTGAAGCTAATAATAATTGTAAACATCTCTTTTCATCTTGTTTAATCCTTATAATCTCCTTACCCTCCAGTCCAGATTGTTGTTTTTTCTGTGTGCTGAGATCGTTCCCTGCAGCAGGACATCTCTGTCAGACCTGTACGCACTGCACACTGCTTTTGGTGAGGTGTACCCAACCATCCAGGCGTAGACTTTAATAGGGATTACTATCCTAACAAAATATCCTTCCTCCTTCCCAGCAAGAAAGGGCAGGCAGGGTCGTGGCAGTTCGAAAGATGCCAACAAGTTAAAAATAAAAAAAGAAACAATCACTTCACGATGAGTGAGTGCATCATGGGAAGAGAGTGCAGGGGTCACGTTTTATTCCCAGTTTTGCTCTGGATGTGCTCAGTAACTTTTGGAGTGACCGGTTCTTAACGACCCTTCGTGTTTTACACATGGCCCCTAGGGTTATGTTATCAAATTATAAGTCTTCATCTCCACTAAAAAATGAGATTTCTAGATTTTTGTGGTTGAAAATACCCTGAGTAGCAGTTAAAATATCTAGAAGGCAAGCACAGAAACCTGACCTTTTTTTTTTTTTTAATCTTTAGACTCAGAGGAGGAGCTGACTCTGGGTTTTTGAGCTTTTAATAGTAATACTGGAATCTGGTCACGTGGGTGGTGAGTTTGGCCTTTCACAGGCTGAGTACTTGGGTCTCAGCTGACCGCAAAGGGAACAGCAGGCACTAACTGTTCGGAGAAGTCAGGTCCTCTGTGAATCCTCTTCTGGAAAATAGCCTTGGCCTTTGCTGGCTTCTCATTTTTTTCACTGTTGCAAAACAAAATCGTTTTCTGATTTTAAAGTGCTTTGAGATCCCTGTGTTAGACAGACGTTCAGACCTCAGCAGTGATAACGAGACAATTTCTCCCTTCTCTCACCCTGAAGCAGACTCGGCAATTGAAGTACCACAGACTCAGCCAGCAGCAAATTTAACTACTCTGCATTTGGAGTGCAGCATTAAGGGGACTAGGAGCTTGATCAAAAGATGCTCTTCAACCTAGGAGACAAAGGGATCATATCCAGTCACTGGAAGATGAAGTCAAACAAATTTGACTCAGAATAGGTTGTTATGTTGTTGGGGTTTTTTTCCTTTTTTTTAAGAATGAATGTAACTGGCCATTGGAACAATTTATACAGGGTTGGGTTGGATCCTCTATCAGTCGGAAAAAAAAGCTAAGCCTGGATGTTCTGCTGAAAGGGGGAATTAATCCAGACAAGTCTTGTGGCTTGTACCACTCAGGAATTCAGTCTGACAATCCCAACCTTCCCTTCTGACCTTTTATTTGCTAAACTGTCTGCACACTAGGTTTCAGATTATTTCATGCCAGGTGCATCTGATAAATTAGTTTGTTCTGAGTCCAACTTCCTTTTCCTGTGGCTGCCAGTCTCCCAACCATATGGCAGAACTACACATCCACCCGTGCCCCTGAATCGCTCCCCCAAAGGCTGCTGGTGTCTGCATCGCCTTTGCATCCTATGCCTTGGTCAGTGCTGATCCATGTTCAAGCTAGATGCTGAATGTCAGCCTGCTCTTGTTTATACTGAATCAATTATATTTCCTTGGAAATCTATTTACTTTGAACCCCGCAAAAAGGTATGATGAACCAGACTATGGGTATTGATAATTTCATGTTGATAACTTTAAAAAAGAAAGATAATTGTCTCTGAGCAAAGACAGAAGATATTAGAATAATGATCTCCCCAGGGCAGGGATTATCATGTTTTTCATGATCATCGTTGGCACAGGGGAGGGGTCCTAATTGTGGCTGGTCTGATAAAAGCTGCTCCGCTGTAAATGATAAAGCCAGACTCTGGACCTTCTCCTCCAGCTTAACAGGCATTTTACTAACCCCAAAGGAAGCTGCATTGGGCTCTGGGAGGAGCAAGTCCCGGCTGCTGCTTTTAGCTCTGCCACGACACTAAAGACAGCGGCTATGCTGAGCACATCTGCAGAGTCCCATCCTGGGGCAAGCCCCAGCTCCCTGCAGACCTGGGGGATCTGCCACCCTGGATGAGGCCTGGAGACCTCAGCCCCGACCCCTCCGTGGGTGCTGCAGAGGGCTGGAGCAGGGACTGCCTCTCCCTGGGAGGTGCCTTCCCAGGCTATCCCATAGGGAAGGGAGGATCTGTCACACTCTAAGCCATTCGGGACAGCAAATGCATGCGTTAAGCCCTGCTGCTATTTATGGTGCTGTCTCTAGGACAGATAACAATAATATCATCTGACAAGTGTGTGACCACCCCAACAGCAAATGTGGGTTTTGATTTGCAGCTTTAATTTGAGATTGGCTGGTTCCAAATGCTGGCTCTTTGCATTATGGTATGCTAAGGCTGCCTGACTCAGACAGTTTGGGGATGCAGCAAGGCATACAAGAAGGGGGATGGACTAATGTGCGCTCTAGAGCCCTCCCCAGCCCTGCTCCCCACCTCGCGGCACGCCAGGTCCCTTCTGCTGCCTTTCTTCCAAGAACTCCCCACTGCAACCTCCGTCCGACTGCGTGGGCTGCACAGCTCCTGATCCACCAAAAGCAGATTATTTCTGCTGTACCATACACAAAAGCTAGCTATGTATTTATAAAACTCCATTACTGTTGCTACAAGCTCCGGATCCCCCTTTCCACCCCCTCTTCCCCCCAAGTCCCAGTTTTTCCACCACCACAACTGAGCAGAAAAATAAGAGAACAAAGGAAGGTTACCTGGAAGAAAAAAAAAAAGGCAAGAGCCAAGGTGAGGCAGGAAGATGGCACTCCCATAGCAACAAGAGGTTTTAATTAATCAGATGTAAATTGGGATGCAGTGTAAAGTAAAAAATATATTCAGCAGGGTGCTGGTAGCTAGGAGAGATGCACAGCTTTTCAGCAGTGTGTCTGGCTGAGAGGGCCCCAGTCAGAGAGGAGAGAAGGAGAAGAGATGCAGGAGCTGAGCCTCAGCTCTCTTCTCCTCTCTGTCCATCAGCCTTAGGTTGCAGGGGCGAATGGGTCACTGGCCGCTCTCCAGCCCAGATGTGCCTCTACATAAGGGGTTTTTTTGTTTGTTTTTGTTTGTTTGTTTGTTTTTTAAATGAGAGAGCAGAACTGAATGGTTGGGCTATTCCTGCAGTAGAAGAGACAACACGTCACCTAGCTCAGGAATAAAAAAAATACCTGCACATCGTGTCCTCAGGGATCAAAAGATTGTTCTGAGGAAAGAAGTATATAATCCTATCTGTACCTGCACGCCCCCGCTAGTAACTTCTGAATCCATCAGCCAGTTTCACCCTTACTTGGCAGAGGCACTGAGGTCCCAAAGATACTCAGTTCCTACAATTTTCACGTACCCTATTAGCGTCTCCCACTGGACGGGGGTGAATTCACCTCTTCTTACACCCTAGAGAGTCATCAAGGCACAAGTCTGTAGGGAATCAGTCCCTCCATGTGTAGAATGACCTGGTGCCTTCAATGATACGTTTGCTGTTCTATTTATTACCTCTGTGTTATCAAGCTTCTGCTCACAGTGCATTTTCAGGACCTTTTTCCCTATGACACGGCTGCTTTATCTGGTAAGGAATGCTTGGCCTCTCACCTCAGGATGAGCATAAACGAGAGCGGAGAGAGGTGTGGGCTGAACAGACTGACTGCTCACTCCCTTATCTGCCTCTGTGCAATAATCCTGATGACAACGGAGGGAGGGAAGCAGCTGGAGGAGGAACCATCTTCAGCAGTGCAGCTGGAGCAGGAGGAGGACACAGACATCTGCCCACAGTGACAGTGGCAAAAGTGCCAAGCCTGAGCTATATCTTAGTGCTCCCAGGTGGTGGAGTAACCCCCAAAGCAGCTCAACCATGATGGGAAATTTCCCAGCTGATCCTGGGGAAGAGGTACAGGGGCCCTCTGGCAGGAGCCCTGCAGGCTTTTTTATCTAGATCAAGAGAGCTCCTTTCTCCAAGTCTATCAGTCAGGTACCTTTTGCTGGTGCTGCATAAAAATCAAAGCAGGCCACACCACCTCCGTGAGAAACGTCCTCAGTGTTTCCAGAGGAACCTGGAACCTGCTCTGCAGCAGGTAACGACAGCACTTGAAGTCCCTCTCTCTGAAGGCCTGTGTCGTTTTGTTGTTGCTGAATGTGGCACTTCCACTTGTCAGGAGCTGCGATTTAGGCAATGTGGCTCCCTCCAAGCTGTCAAAACCCCCCAACCTGCATGCCTGTTTGGGAAGATATCATAAAATATTGATTATTCTCAGCACACTCCTGTCCTCCAGACATTTAGTAGCTCACTTCCCACAGCGAACAGCAAAGCAAAGCAACAGCAAAGCAAAAACCTCTGCTCCTGAGCAAATCCTTGCTAGATGAATGGAAGTGCAGAGATAGGTGGCTCGATGAATGTAAGAACAGGAAGGGCTTTGAACACAGAGGTCCGGGTGTTTTAATTTTAATGAGGAAAGAAATACAGCAACCAGGAAGCTTATAGAGACCCTGGGCAGCTGATGGGGGAATGCAGTATTGACAGAGCAGCAAGTACCTTATCTGCTTGAAAACAGGACCAGATAAAGTGCTGCTAACCCAATGCATTAACCCCTGTCTGCACATTCTTTGCAGTAATACTGCTTGCATCAATTCCCTAACTGCCAGTTTGTGTGCAAAGCAAGGGATGTGCAGAGCTGGGCCATGTGTGCCACAGGCTCTGATGGCTCAGCATTAGCCCCAGCTGCAAGAGGCCTTTTCTCTTTAAGTAATGAACCTCCCTTTTCCTGCCAGAGCCAATCCAAAATGAAAGCAGTAGGGCTGGCCTTAACGGGTTTGTCCAGCTGCTGATATCCAGCATAAGGGCAGTTTCTTGGAGAGGTGCCTCTCCAGCCTTTTTTGCCAAGGCAAGAGTGACCACGTCCCTCTCTAGCTCCTTTCCTCATAGGCTCCCTAGAGCATCTGACACCCACTCACGTAGACAGGAAAACTGAAGTGACTTGTCCTGACCTGCCAGCCACTGGCACAGAAAGTGTCTTCTGAATGGCATCTCCTGCTCTAACACCTGGGCATTTTCACCTTCCTAGCTGCTTTTCACAGATCTGCCCTCAGTCACCATATACATCAGTCAGGAAGTCAGGCTAAACCTTTCGGAGAAGCCCAGCTTTGCCAAAAGGGGAGGCTGACTGAATGGTATCATAGCTGGCATGAGCCACAGCACTGCAAATAAAGTGGATCCTTTTGCCCAGCCAACCCTCACCCTTGCCTGAGCTGTCTTTGCAGTTGGGTGCATGGCTCTTTCTGACTTGCTGGTCCTGATGCAGACTCTCCTCCTCCATATCCAGCAGTTGTGTTACTGGCAAACACAAATTGCTTGGCTATAGCTGTTCCCCAGAGAATTTCAGAGCATCCCAGCGAAGGTAGAGGAGAAAGCAAGTATCACTGCAAAACAGCCTCAGGAAAAAGACCACCTGCAAACAAGACAACAACACGTTGCTCTGTTTCCTTTCTCAACCCTGCAAACTGCTATGTAAGAAGCGCCTTCTTTATTTGGAAATGCTATTGTAAAATGGGTCCCAATGGTGTTTTGAAAGCTTGTGGCTTGGCTACAAGCAGGAGCATCAACAGAAGTTGTTGGGAATCCCAAATGGATAGAAAACATGCTTATTTCTGCCAAGGAGTTTTCTACATGCTCTCTGCATTAGGAAGTGTAGGAAGTGGCAGCAAGATAAGAGGAGAGCACATTCAATGGGGGCATGGCAAATCCGCAGTGTGGTGTTTCTTCCTGCTCCAGTCCCATTTCTCTGCTGTGCAGCTTTTCATCTGCAAATTCTCTGATGCTGCTGCTGCCAAAAGGGAAACCCAAAATTCATGGCCAAGAGGACAAGTGACAGCAGCAGAGAACTTGTTTCACATCTGACTGCAGGGAGCAGCTCTGGGCCAGGCTCTGGGCTTTTTGACCTGCTGCTTTGGACACTCACTCTCCTGTGCTGCCTGAAGGAGTCAGGAGAGCCATCCCAGCAGAGGTGTAAGAGGTGTTTAGTACTCAGCCTTCTCCCAGAGTGTGCTTATGGTCAGTGCCAAAAGCAGGACCAGGCCATGGACTAGAAGCACAGTCCAGGGTGAACAGGAACAGAGAGAGGAAAATGGGGGGCAGCTCCTGAAAGGGGCACTGGCAGGGAGAACAGCTTGTTCAGACCCTTTTTAACAGCCAATTCAGGAATCAGCTGTGGTTTTTAGCAGCTGGTTCTGCCTGACTGGACAGGACCACTCCCTGCACATCTCCTCCTCCCACTTTGAAAAGTCCTTTAAGCTCCTCTGGAAACATCCCCCTCAGTCACTTCGGAGATTTAGCATCCAACTTTCAGGAAGAGAGGGGCTACGAGCCAGTAAAGAGAGAGAAACCAAAACGTACCCTTTAATACCATTACAGGTTTCTATCTATCTACAGTGTCATGGGAATCCTGCAGAAGGTATTTGGGGACATAGCACTTGCCCCAAAAGGCTCCCAAGCTAAGCCTTAGGTGTGATGATGACTAATAAATGACAAAGCGATGAAGAGAAGATGGTAGAAAGATGACAAAAGACCAAAGGAGACAGCAGTAACCCTGCTGAGTTGCTCAGCTCTGATGTAAGCTCATTTTCACAATTCGATTATAATGTGATGCTAACTACTGAGTTGATGGTATTGAGCGTCAAGGCAGAAGGGCGCTACAGGAAAGGGATATTGATAGAGGAGGGTGGCGGCAACAGCACTTCTCGCCCAGAGAGATGCCAAACTGCATCAAGGGAACACTGAAAAGGAGGCAGCTCTGGGGTGGAGTGCAGCAGGAAACGGTAACATTAGATGACAGCTCAGAAAGGGAGCGATAATGAACGTGATAGTCATTTGAAACAGAGGCTGATCTTGCACAGGCAGAATGCAATTAGCCAGCAGAGTATTTCAGATCCGCGCCTGGCACGGATGCCTTTCCACTATCAGATCTTTAAAAGCCTGCAGCTGGTCATTTGCTCTTCTCCTCCCAAATCTGGTTCCATCCAATTCCTGGATGGACACAGTCACTATGCCAAGGTCAGGAACCAAACCTGGTCTCCGACGAGCTAAAAAAAGAACCAGTGGACTTGTCCTTAATCAGGTGAAAGCCACTGAAGGGTTAAAGTCACTCTACTGTGTATCAAGTCCCATTGCTCCTTACAATACCCAGAACGGTGCCTTCCCTGAAAATAGGGTCACCAACACACTCAATTTGTCTAATTCCATATTTAAGATATGGCTTCTGAATCACAGATGTGCTATTACCCACAAAGCAGCTTAAACTGTCCCTTAGATTTAAATACAGCCTCTTGCATAAAACATCTTTTTATCAATTTCACTTAGGGCTGACAAGCGCTCCCCCACGCACATCCTTTTAATAACGTCAGTGCGCTTCACAGAGCCCTTAAGTGCATTCCTTTGGGAAGCAAATACCCTTAAGGGCACCTTTTGTCATTGTTTGTTTTCTCCAGTTGCTAAAGAGGGATTGCGTGGAGAAGCGCTCAGGCTCTTATTGCATCATGTCTCATTTCTAGAACGCCACTCCGAATTTAGTTTCCAGGAAGTGGGTGGAGGGTGCCAGTCTAGAAGAAACATCCTCAGGTACTGTGTAGGGCATAAGGAGGGATATATATCTCTTCTTCTCCAGCCCACTGTCAGCCCAGTGTGAAATTTGTGTCTGGTCGGTGTCTGATATTAGCAAGCAGAATTTAGAGTATCGCCATGGTGAACATGCAGACATGCAGAAAGCTGCGTGATTGGTGATGCCACCAGCCCCCGAGAAAGCATGGAGAAGCAGGAAGGATTGATTTGTCAGTGTAAAAACAGAGGGGAAGTTCAGAAAGCCAAGGAACTTAGGTGGCCTGGATCTATCCCATATGGATTACCTGATATCTAATAGCACAGTTGTATAACTCACAGCCTTTTCCTTCCCTGGGAGCATGGATTATGATCCCTCCTATTGAGCTGCTGACCTTCACTAAGCTCATGGGACTCAAACACTTCTGAGATCTCCGTACGTTTGACAAATCGGTTTGCCAGCACATTCAAAAGTTAGGTGGCCGCTGTAAAAATATGATCACATCAGCTTTGTTTCCTTAGGAAATGAGGATAAAGCTCTTGGTACCAGCAAGCCTGCCTTTGAGACAGGCTAGTTGTTGCAGCCAGTTACCCATCCTTGGCAAAGAGGTACCAAATTCCCATACCCTGTGCTGCAGCTGCTTTGGCTCTGCTAGTGCTATGTTACTTATCAGACACCAAGTGATGTGCATTTTCCCCACAGCAAGCAAAGAGGATTGCACAGAGTTTTGAGATGGGTTGAGGAATCATTTGGGAACCAGTTGATGGCAGCACTTTAATGTTTCAAGAGGAATCAAAGGGAGAAATACTACTGATTTTATCAAGTCCTGTAGGGAGAACTGGATGGAAGGAGTGTTACCTCAGAGTTACCCAGAGTGCTGGTCTGGGATTCAGGAAACTTTGGTTATATTTTGGCCTCTGCAGACTGGCTTGATGGATGGATAAAGGGTCACAATGTTGATCCTCTGCATTTTAGCTTCTCCATCTGCCAAATGGAGAGAACAAGACAAATGAATCCATGAAGAGTGCTGCATAGGGGAGAGATTATGTGATCAATTAATAATGGGAAGAGTTCAAGGTACAAATTTTCATGACATATTCTCCCAAGACACAGCACTCCCCTCACTGCATGCTTGAATGCTGGGTCACACAGCCAAAACCTCACACAGCCAGCAGCTCAGCATCAGAGCTGGTTTCCTAGGCAGATCTTCCTTCCTTGCACCAAACCCAGCCTGGCTGTGTGAGCAGACTGGATCACAGTATTACAGGCACTGAAAGCAACTGAAGACCAGACAGAAAAGGCATCGCCCACTCAGGCTATTAAAAACTACTTGCTGCTGGCACTGCAAACTTGTATGGCATCCGGACATTGAATTGGACTTACTTCTCAGCAGCTGCTGTACATTAAGGTTGGAGATAGAAGTGAGAGGAAATACAGGGACTTTTTTAAAAACTCGAATGAATGGAGGCACTTTTTTAAAAACTGATTTTTTTTTTTTAAATGTCAAAAATGTACCAGAAAATCTGTATTGCCTGCTGTTCAGTTAAATGGCTCCAGTCTTGTCATTAGCTGCCAAAATTTGGTTTATCAAAAAAACTACATCTGTAGAACAATTGCTTTCATATTAATGCCTGCAGGCTCCCTTGCCAGGGAGCTGTGCATTCCATCAATTTTTGACCATCTGTGCCCCCTTTGATGCTTCAGGTTTTTTCCTGAGCTTCAGCAAGCCTGACATTTGCTCTTCAGGATTAGGAGGTTGCTGTCTTCATCACCCTGGGAGAAGGGTCTTCACCCCAGAGCCTCCAGGCCCAGCTGCCAGAACTACCTTGGCATCAGAACTGCTTGTAAAGAGGTGCTGGGAGCTTTCGAGTCTTGCTGCAGTCAATGGGATGCGAAGATGCTTTACACCTCTGTTGGATGAGGCTCTATGTAACCACAGCTGCCTTTTTCCTTCTTTGTTCCTGGCAAGGAGCCCTGGGAGAAGCCACGAGTGATGCATCTCCTCTCGAGGACCAGCACTAACCTGGTTATCAGATTTGGAGGAGGAGAAGTGGAACATGAAGAGATTATGGGGAGGAAAGTGGAGGAGGAGGAGGTGGTTCTGGGGTCTGAGAGAAGGTGAAAAGGAAGATGATCAAGGGCCAGTCTGTGGAGCTGGAGGCAAGCCAGGATTCAGGTAACTCTCTCCAGAGGCCCATGGCCATTTTAGGCATCAGACTTCTGGCTATTCCAGATATCCCCTCACTCATGTACAGTCTGGTGTGGTCTTGCTGTCTCATCACAATATATTTGCCAGGCAGAGCCCAGACAAACTAAGAACACTGCTAGACTCAGTCCGTGAAGCCCACTTACAAAGACCTCCAGCCCATGTGCTAAAGGCTCCATGAAACCATCGTGTTCACCTGCCAGTCATGAAATACATTTGCAGTGAAAGCCTTTTGGATAGGGACTGAGGCTTGGCAGGGGAATGAGGGCAGCTTTGAAAAATCCGTTTTCCATTCTCTTTTCCTTTATGAACAGAATTTCAAAGTCTCTGCGGGTCTTTCTCTGTTTTCTGCCACAGCCGATGCTGCCCGCCTTTCTCCTCCTTAAATCAGCACCCCCTGTTGATCACTCCAGAGGTGCAGAGTCAACACAGCAGGAGCATAAGACAGACAGATCAGGGTTAGCACCAGCTACAGTGGCTAAGTGGACTGACGGATGCTTTTAATAACTGCAAATGCTATTCTTAGTGCTGATGATTTAGCAGTTATCATAAGATACAGAGGGAATTAAAATGAACCTAAGGAGAGTACTTACTTTTCATCTATGCCTGCCTGCTGCCCGCTGGCTTGGCTCTGGCTCGCACTATTACTGCGGAGAGATATCACTGCCATTCAGTGGAAGAATCAAAATCCACAATTGTGTTGATTTACCAGGTGGAATATTGCAATCTTCCTTCTGCATGTGGTCAAAGGACACTGAAAAACATTGCAAGATGTTACGTTTTCATTTAAATTTTGGCCTAGAAGAAAACCTCCTCGTTTCAGAAGCAAATGACACAAAACTCAGGCTGAGCTACGTTATGCCATTAGTTGCTTGGCTAAAATGCATTTTTCAAGTAACCCAATTTGAAAATGAATGACTTTTTCAAACTGATTTTCTGCTGTGGGTTGCAGCGCTCCTTTTTATTTCAAGAAAGATGTTGCAGCCTCTCAGTGTAGCAGCCACCAGGTCTGGGTGAAAATCTTAGGAACACAATTCCCTTCATGCAAGTGGGCAAGCAGTGGCTGCCCACTTCCCAGACCGTGATCCTAGTCAACCTAGTTTAACCTGCTGTGCTCAGTGTTAGCAATTAGGGTCTCCATGAAAATTCAGCAAGTCAGCAGAAATCCTCACATTGAAAAGTTTCAGTGAGCAGAGAGACCTTTTTCCACATGTTTTGAACAGTACAGGTTCAGTAAATTTATCTCTACTTGTTTTCAGAACACTGCAGAAATATCTACGTCCCTTGTCTTGTCTAGGTGGTTAACAGTGTAGGTTTTTAAGCAGGTGTGGAACTAAAGACAACCCAAGAAGTGAGGGCCACAAAATCAAGAAATCAGGCAATTGCAAGAGAACAAATATGAAGTGAGAAACTAATTGCAGGATCAGAAAAAAAGGAAATGCAACTCTGAAGGCAGAAAGAGTATGCTTATAGGACAAGTGCAGCCAGAATAGGAGAAACTTTGTATCTCTGCTATTAACCCCTGTAAGAGTGCAGAACATTTGCTTGCAGATTATCACATTTCAGTGGTTCAGTAAATCCATTAGCTGATGCCCATCAGTGGTGCCACAGTAAGTGCCTGAGTTCACATAGACCCATTTGCAAGATAACACGATGCAGGCTGCAGTGAAAGAGGATCAAGCTATCACTCAGGAGGTGCAGAACCCATCTGCAGTCGGCTAAGGTGGCTCAGCTGACAGATGGTACCACACAACCAGTGAAACGCAATTGCCTTCAAGTATGTGCTTGTAGTCTGTAGATGTGACTATCTGAGGGCAGGGAAGCCAACACTTAGTTGCAATAGATTTTTCCTTTAGATTTACCAGTGCTAGTGTGCATTAGAACTACAAGTTCTTGGGGCAAAGCAGGCAACAAAAGGTTTATTAAAATGAAGTGGGTTAAAAGGTCACCTTTTTTCTTCGTGTAGATGACTGAAAAGGGCAGGGAAAAAACAGCTTCCAGGCATTTACTATTGTATTTTGCACTGTTCTACAATCATTTGAATTTTTGCATTCATTAAATCAGCATTGTTAATTCTTAACATTACCGCTTGCCTCATTTCCTCTCTCATGCAAGATCCCAATTTATTCCATTCAAATCCTGAGTCCCCCATTCAATCCTTCCTGTGTCCCTAATTCTAACCCCTTTTAATGTTTAACTCTTCTCCTGATACAGCTCAAATCTTTCAAGAAGCAGGGGTCACGAGACTTGCCGCCCGCCCTATAAATCCCCAACCCTTATATCTCTGGATGGGGAAGGAACAACCAATTCCCTCAATCTCCAGCCTGCTTTTTCCTTAGCCTCCTGGGTTAGCTTCACCATCTGCAGACCCCTGGTGCCCCTTCCTCACTGCTTAGGCATGGATCTGATCTCTGGGCTGCAATAAGGGGGAGTCAAGTTTTGCACAGATTGTGGAATGCAGCCTCACTTCCCATCCACTGGGGTATTTTGCCATTGTTTATTTTTTAAAAAAAAAAAAGGAAATTGTGTTTGGAGCATTGAAAGCATCTTAAAAACGAGGTGACATTGTCGCTGCTGGTGCTTCCATGGCAACCTGCATTTGTTTCTCAGAGCTGCTTCATAATAATTAATACACCACTTTCATTCACGTGGCCCATGTTCAGAGGGCATGGAACAGCTCCCACTGGGATTTTCCTGGGTCACATGAAATATTCATATGAAAGAGTCAGAAGAAAGAACTTTGCTTTGTGTTCTGACCACTGGGACAAAGCAGTGACATAGCAGACAACAGATCACTCCTCTGCTAGCCCAGCTAGCAGGGCTAACAGTGAGGGGACAGAGCCTGTAATGACATCCCTCCCGCCCAACAACAGGGCAGCCAGAGAAGCCCACAGTCCCGTCGATCACACGAGGATGGAACAAGGTAGGGCTTGTTACACGGTCGCAGCAACGAACCCCTGGAGTGCAAGACTCTTCCCTATACAGGGCACTGGCAAATGCAAGCTGCCATACCTTGCCATGCTGTGCTGGTATGTATCTAGACATGGCCAAGACGGAGGGAATTTGGGGAAGCACATCAGCAAAATCCTTACGCACAGAGTAACTTGCATATCTTGCATGCTTTCCCTCCCTCCTCGCTGCAGGTTCTGGGGGAGGGCTCAGTTTAACGTGGGAGGGTGCGGGGGAGAAGCGGATCAAAGATGCGGTTGCCTACGGTACAGCAATAAAGACAAAGCTGTGAGTGGAGCCTGCAGCTGTACTGCCTCTGGGCTACAATCCTGCCAGATCTTGCAGGCTAGGAAGCAGACTCTCAGCCTGTAGGACTTGGATAGGGTATAAGGACAACTCAGCTGCTGCAAGCTGTGGCTAGAAAAGATTTGATAGGTACTACTTCATAGCCTGAGCCGCAACATGAAGCTAAGGGGGCATTCTGCTCCAGCAACTTTGGCCTTTCAGGGGAGCCATAAAACCAAATGGTTGGACCCAATATAGCTATCAAATACCTAATGGCACTTTTCACAGAAGGAGGAGGGTGAGCCTCAGGGTCCTGGCTGAACTCCAGGTTAGATAATTACATTCCGTCAACCTTCATTCTCTCTGCAGCTTCAATTGGATATGGGATTTGGAGGCTTTTCTCTGCTGAGATGTTTTTCTGGCCTTTTTTCATGCTGACTAGACTCTTAGAGCAAAACAACAACAACAACAACACCCCCCCCATAGCCTGCTGTGAAGCCTGGCCTGCACCGCACCAGCATCAGGCTGGGAAGAAAGATCTTCTCCATAAGCTCTGAAACGCACTTCACATGGGAAGTCACTCGCATCTGAAAGCTGGGTCCCGCTGTGGCACTTGTCCACATCCTTTCATAAAGGAGAGGCTCTTCCCTAGACAGCTTACAGATGCTGACCTACTTCACAGCTGAAATATTGAACCCCTTCACCAGGCACTGTGAAGATCCACAAGTTATCCACAAGTGCGGGATACTTCCCAAAGAGCCCAGCATCGCAGACGGGCAATTCAAGATCTCTGCTCTCCCTTGTTGCCCCGTCTTCTACCGAGTGAAATGTTTGAAGAGGGCACATTAAGTGATCAACAACTAGTGTAAATTAAGGTAGTGAGAGGGAGAGAAAGACAACCTCCTGGAGCTGTGCAAAGCAAGCGGCCAAAATCCCAAGGGCTGGAGATGTTCCTTTGAGTCTGCCCACGAATATCTAAGAGGTTAAATGAAGAGATCCCAAAAAGCTGCAACAAATTGCACAGACAGTCCAATAAGCGCAAGAGCCTTCCTGGCTCAAAAGTTGAATTTTTTCCCATTCTCCTCTGCCTGATGATCTCTCCCAATCCTTTATCAGATTGATATGGCCTCTTCTAGTGTCACAAGTCAAGGGAGAGCTCTCGGAAATCCTCATTCCCTTCCTCCTGGGGAACAGTGCTTTCATAACAAGCACTTTCAAGGCCTTTGTCAGTTCTGAATGGTAAGGTAACAGCTTTTATTTCTTCAGGTCAGCAACTGCCCTGTCCAAGTCCGGTTTTACACACTGTCTTGTTCAGTATAAAGAAGGTTTATATGTCATGTCCCTTATTCACTTGAGTTGTGGCCACACCGAAAAGCATTTGGCTTCATCCATTTTTTCCTTCTTTTTTGGTCTGGTCACCTCTGGCAGACACTTATATCTTGATGCTTCCTCTCTTATTAGGCTTCCTTTTGCAAAACATACTAGTTTCATCCCTGTGATGAAGCAATGAATGAGGGAGTGTCTACAGGGACTTGCAACATTATTAATGCCTAAAGCCTAGTAGCTAAATGCAAAACTTAACTCAAAGAGGGTTTTGTTTTGTTTTAAATTGTAAAATTAAACATCCGTTCTCCTAACATCTACAGAACTTGGCAGCACTGTCACAACGCCCTTCCTATGAGGCTCCCAAGGGTTTTTCCTCAAGGTTGCACATTATCATCCTCATTTTAAATAGGAAAAAGTTCAAAGCACAGACAGGTTAAATGATTTGCCCGAAACTACAAAGGAAACAACTGGCAGGGTTGGGAAAAACTTTGGTCTATTCCCACCCTTAGCACTATCAATCAACACTTCAGGAAAATCAAAATGTTAAGCCAGGTTCCTGATGTCCTTTCCAATTAACTTTCAGTAGAGGAAAATGGTCAAAGCGCAGAACTGACACACTGTCACAGACTCTGGCTACACTGCAGTTAACTTGCCTATACTAGGTCAGATCAGAAAGGCTCAACAGCATGGCCAAGACCTAAAATTAATAGAGAAACTAGTTCTTCAGCTAAAGCAATGGATGCCCATCCTTTTCAAGGGAGATTCCTGCTCGTGCCATGCAATCTATTTAAACTTGAATATCCTATATGGGCAAACGCACACATAGCTTTTGGGATGTCACTCTCCACACCCTCCAGTAACACAGCAGGCTGGGCACTTGTACATGGATTACTGCTAGGTGTTTCCGATTGCAAGCCATTTCAGCACAGGCAATGGGTTTAAAAACATAGCATCCACTCATTTCCTCCCCAGGTCTGCAGCATGTTAAATCGAGGTCTTGGGAAGCTGTGTGCGTTGCAGCTCTTCAGGGACGCTACTACAAAACACCCTCATCCTGACGTTCATTTTCAGGTAGGAATATACAATGAGGCTGCCCACACCTCCTTCTGAGGAGCACAGTAACAGATGTATTGCTCCCACCTAATTAAAAAAGGTGACCTTTTGGGTTGCAGCTGTCCTGTGGCAA